CTATTTGTGCAAAAATGTTTCCTGAGCACTGGATGTTTTGATGGGGTGTCAGATAGCAAAACATTAAAGTCGGTGTTAGGCACTTACGTATACTCAATTCTCAGAAAGTGCTACAAGGTAGTTATTTTTTCAATAGGTAAATAAACACACAAATGCTATTGCCTTTCTCCATTAAAATGATTACAGGAACTGTAGGGAAGGCTCAGACATGCAGAAGAGACACCATTTATTGTTTGATACCTGCAATAGACAGCACTGAGGCCACCCAAGTCTGCCAGCTCTTTGGGCTGCCTGCTATGGAGAAGACCAAGGAGCTACAGAGAAGCCAGCAGGCCCAAGGAGCACAAAGATTTATTTCTGCTCAGGCATCATGTTGTGCACAGCTGACATGCAGCTCTTTCACCGTTCCTTTTGTGAGACACCACATGAAGACTGTGAGAGTCTGCGGCCCATTATGGCTGAGTTGAAAAAGCACAAGGATGGTGCTCATGAGGATTTCCTATGGGAACAGAAAATGTCCCCTCTCAGCATTCTCTTCTCTTTTCAGAGGCTACTTGCCAACAAGCCTAATTCTACAACATGATCCAAACTGATGCAGGAGACAGCCCCTTCTGCTGGCCAGCTGAGCTTCTTCCCTTTGCATTCGTGTTCTTGTCAATTTGCTCACAGTAACCCTAACCAATGCAGCCAGCAGAAAATGGTCCATACCTTACTGTGGCAGTGACACTTTCCTCCAGAGAGGAAAGTTGAGCTGTAACAGTAGAGAACTCTCCCAGCTAATCTCCATGACCTAATTCTGCCAAAAGCACTGTTTTCCCTTACAGGATGAGTTAGGAATTTCTGACTGTGCTGCTTGGTTTTATTTTAATGGCTACTGTATAGTGAATTGAGCCTACACCTCTCCTTCTTCTAGAGAATCCATTTTATTTACAATTGTTCAAGGGCATCCTGCTCCTTGCCTGCACTGCCCTCTATGACTGGCTTCATATTGTGATTTGCAGTCATCTGCAGCCAGCAGAAGTTTTATGTAGACAGGCAAATATGATATGGTGCTGTTAAGAATTCCAAGAAGGCTAAAATTTGAAATGATATCTTGCTTGCCTGTAAAGTCGTTCTTTACACTGAACTATTAAAGTGCTAGGCACATCAGGATATTTTCTCAATGTAAGCAACTTGGCATAAATGTGCACAACCATGTTCATGCAAATAACATGTTCAGTAGTGGTATTTGAGAACAGTCTCTGTGTTGCAGGTTGTTTAATAAACATTGGATGTGTGAGCAATCTTGTTTCTACTGAAGAACACCTGGGCCTCAACGACCAAGGACTCTCTCATGAGAACCAGTTGATAAAAAGTGAGGCAACGAAGTAAACACCCGGACGTGCCGAAGAAGGAGTTGGGGTGGAGAGTTCTGACTGAGCATGTGCATACCTGAGCCTAGGACCCAGTCACTGTTTAGATCGTGGCAGGCTCTAGTACAACTGACCAATCATAAGTGTAGTTCCGGACTTGTACAAACTCGGGATAAGGGTATATAAGTGCCTGTCATTTCTAATAAAGTTGGAGTTTGCTCTATCAATCATATTGTTTGTCTTGCATTCTTCCCTCACTGGACACCTCCGCACTGACATCTCTGGCTAGATGTAACTACTTGCTTTGCATTTGTCTCTGTTTTATACTAAATATCAGCTTTGCATTTCGACGTGCAGCTAACAGTTGAAAGGGATCTCTGCACACACTGTTATGCCAGTGGTGGTGATGGTGTCTTGAAGACTTTCGCCAACAATTTTCCACTCTGCTCTCTTCATACTTGGGCAAATCCAGGCATGAAAATGCTGTATCACACACAACAACACCAGCAAAACTTTGTTTTTATTGCAAGAAAGGATAAAGCATGAGGAAAGTTGTCTAAGAAGCCAGGGATCAGGTTAGGAATGCTAAAGTCCAGATAGAGTTAAACCTGGCCAGGGTCATCAAGGGTAATAAGAAGGGTTTCTACAGGTACATCAGTGAAAAGAGGCAGAATAGAGAAAATGTGGGTCTTCTCCAGAAGGAAACAGGAGACCTTGCCATGCAGGATATGGAGAAAGCTGAGGTACTGAATGACTTTTTTGCTTCAGTCTTCACTGGCAAGGGCTCTGGCCATACTGTCCAAGTCACAGAATGCAAAGGCAGAGTCTGGGAAAACAAAGACTCCCCACTGTAGAAGAGCAAGTTTGAGACCATCTAAAGAACCTGAAAGTGCACAAGAACATGGAACCTGAAAAAATCTATTTGTGGCTCCTAAGTGAGCTGGCAGATGAAGCTGCAATGCTGCTTTACATCATATTTGAGAAATTATGGCAGTTTGGTGAAGTTCCCACTGACTGGAAAAGGGAAAACATAACCCCCATTTTCAAAAAGGGAAGGAAAGAAGACCTAGGGAATGACTGACCAGTCAGTCTCACCTCTGTGCCTTGCAAGATCATGGAGCAGATCCTCCTGAAGGCTCTGTGAAGACACATGGAAAACATGGAGGTGTTGGTGGCAACCAACGTGGCTTCACCAAGGGCAAATCATGCCTGACAAATTTGGTGGCCTTTTATGATAAGGTCACAGCATCGGTGGACAAGGGAAGTGCAACTGGCGTCATCTACCTGGACATGTGCAAGGCCTTTGACACTGTCCTGCATGATATCCTGGTCTCAAAATTGGAAGGGTATGGATTTGATGGGTGGACCACTCGGTGGCTAAGGAATTGACTGGTCACACTCAGAGAGTTGTGATCAATGGCTCAATATCCAGATGGAGACCAGTGACAAGTAGCTTTCCTTAGGGGTCATTACTAGGACCAGTGCTGTTGAACATCTTTGTCAGAGACATGGACAGTGGGATTGAATGCACCCTCAACAAGTTGGCTGATGACACCAACGCTGTGGTTGACACGCTGGAAGGAAGGGAGGCCATCCAGAGCTACATCGACAGGTTCAAGAGGTGGTCCCATGCCAACCTCATGAAGTTCAACAAGGCCAAGTGCAAGGTCCTGCACCTGGATTGGGGCAATTCCAAGCACAAATACAGGTTGGGCAGAAAATGGATTGAGAACAGCCTCGAGAAGAAGGACCTGGGGGTGCTGGTCAATCAAAAGCTCAACATCAGTCAGCAATGTGCACCTGCAGCCCAGAAAGCCAATTGTGTCCTGGGCTGCATCAAAAGAAGCATGGCCAACAGGTCAAGGGAGGTGATTCTCCCCCTCTACTCCACACTCCTCAGACTCCATCTGGAGTACTGTGTCCAGTTTTGGAGCCCCCAACATAAAAAGGATATGGATCTCCTGGAGAAAGTCCAGAGGAGGGCCACAAAGGTGATGAAAGGGCTGGAGGATCTCTCCTACAAAGACAGGCTGAGAGAGTTGGGGCTGTTCAGTCTGGAGAAGAGAAGGCTCTGAGGAGACATTATAGCAGCTTTCCAGTACCTGAAGGGGGCCTACAGGAAAGCTAGGGAGGGACTTTTTACCAGGGTGTGTAGTGATAGGACAAGGGGTAATGGTTTGAAGCTGGAAGAGGGGATGTTTAGATTAGACATTAGGAGGAAATTATTTAGTGTGATGGTGGTGAGACACTGGAATAAGTTGCCCAGGGAGGTTGTGGGGAAGTGTTCAAGGGCAGCTTGGATGGGGCTTTTAGCAGCCTGGTCTAGTGGAAGGTGTCCCTGCCCATGCAAGGGGATTGGAACCTGATGATCTTTAAGGTCTCTTCTAACCCTAGTGATTCTGTGGTGATTGTGTGAAAGAACCCCATCTGAAGTTCAGATTCCAGAGTTCAAGACTTGAAGGTAAAAAGAGTATATCTGAAAACAAATTTTAAAAATTAGCTGTACTCTTGAGCCAGACAGCTTTTTAAGTCTCACAGTGTTAAAATAAATTTGAATAACAGGTACCATCAAACCAGCAACTGGTTTTATTTACAGTGTTTGTCTAGGCCAGCGACATCTTCCTCCTAAGGGACACACACATCACCACACTGGACAAGCAGGGAGTGAACTGCATTGTTAGAAAACTGTCTATCATGTGCCAACAGTAATTAGCTGAGGTCCTGAAACGCAAGAGATTTTTATCCCTTATGTGTTAGCTGAATGGACTCTTCCGACGATCTATTTAAATAGATTTATTTTTTTTAAACCTTCCAAGGATAGTTGGGCTAGAGGGCTCCACAGGCTATTTGCACATTGTAGAGTGTTTAATATGTGTGCTGCTTTCTCTGTTTGTCTGTAGTCTGAATGTTCTTGTATGCTGTGAAAGGATTGATTTCTGTTAACTTCACACTTTTTGCTTCTTTAGATATCTTTTATGGCATTCCCTCCCACTTCTTTCCTCACTAAGCTAAACATTCCCAGTATTTCCAGCTTCTGCTTACCCAAAGCTCATCACCTGCTACTGCTTTTTTTAAGCTCCAAATTGGGCTCTTTTCTCTGCTGCCAACCATTTTGCAGAGATAATCAACATAATTTAAGGGGCAGTGAGCCTCTTTGCAGAACATAGGCTGGTTTGGCCTGGTCCTAACACACAAATTTTGGCTATCTACTTTCTATAATGCATTTTCAGCACTTTTTCTTCATGCTAATAAGAAGCATCTTCATATCTTCATATCTTTATATTTAATAACCTTTTTAGTAGAAAGGCTACCACTTGCATATTCCAGGAAAAAACTTTATGTTGGGGTGAAAAATAGCCTCATAAAGCCATACCTTTACAAAGAAGGACGTGTGTGTCACAACAGTGGCCACTCCATGAACTACACTGAGCCAGTTCCAGAGACTGGAATCACATGAGGATAAACCTTTTCCCAGACTAAGCCCTTAACAAAAGATTGTGTGTAAGCAACATAATCTACAGAGGAAAAACTTGCTACATTTTTTAACCATAAGTGAGATAGGTTTACTGAGCACTGCATGATTGCTTCCTTACCAAGGAGCAGCCTTTTAGATTTTTCCCCTCAAAATACAAGCTGAAGTAGCTTTTTCTAGCTGGCATGTTCTGTAAAGGTTCTATTAAAGGGGTTTGTGGAGCTTTCTGAATGGCCACCCAGTTCAAAGCATTCACGGAGAAATTCTTGCTTTCTTACTAGCTCCAGTGTTGTCTCATCAGGGGTCCAAATCTAGAAAATAAAGGTATTTGTAGTTAATTTGGACATAACTTCTGCAACTGAAGCATTAAGAAGATACTGTTGGCCAAAAAGAGCCTTGTTCTAGCATTCCTTTCTATCCTAAGACATAGAAGAAAACTAGTGCAGCCTCCCAATGGAAGATACCATAGCCATTTGTGTATATATAAGCAAAACATTCTCTTCTTGTTGCTTCCAACTGATATACCATGGGCTCAGATATACAAAGCTAATTGTTTAAAATGACTGACTCAGGCCCAAGATCCTCAGAGTGGAAAATAGTAATTAGCTCTAGAGTGACTGGCAATGTAACCTTATTCCCCTTAGACCATTGCAGAAACTAGCACAAATTAGGGTAAGGAAAATGGTAAACAAACTCCAAACAAAACCTCTCAGTCAGTTTTTTAAGGAAAAAAAACACAATACAAAACAAACAAACAAAAAACAAAACAAAAAAAATCCCACAACAAACCAACAACTAAAAAATTACTGCTCTATGATCTTTTTCTATTTCTTGGTTATTTGCAAATGAGTATTAACAAGTCCCCAATACAAAAATAGTATTTCCAATATTCTAACTTTAGGAAGTAAATATTTGGTGTACTGTGTTCCATTTAGCTCGGTAACTGTCACCAACAAAAATAATCATGTGATAACTAATTGAGAAGGCAAGTTAGAAGTTGGTGCCAGCCCCATGTGGAAGAACCCTTAGGTGTCAAAATGCAAAAATCCATCCCATGAATGTAGTTGCATTTGTATTTCACTGTGGGTCCTCTTTAATCCTGTTTTAAAACCTGATGGGATCTGATTTCCATGATAATTTGATTTATGTAATTATATGTGTATATAAACCAGACACATATATAGACCCTTTAGTTTACTGCTGGTCCGTGGCAATCTCTCTAGCCTGTGTCACATCATCTACAAGCTAGTTGGATTATGAAGTCATTTAATCACATTGTTCTGTTTTTTGATCTACAAGGTCTACCTTTTAATTAATGTGAAGCTGTGCTCATGTTTTGCTACTGTACCGACCTTTCTGGGTTTGAATGAGATGTCTTCTGTCTTAGTAGCACCACTGGTTATCAAAGTGTTCAGATAAATAACACTGTCCTTAGAAGAACGTGGTGACCCTTCAAGTATGGAATCTTCTATGACTGACAAAGACATCTGTTAAGTCCAGAAGAGAGGAAGTTATCAGTTAGACAAACACAAGGCATTCAGAAGCAAGACACATCCTGTATCTTCTAACCTGTCTTTTGCTATTTACTGTGGATGCATTTTACTTAATCCGTTCAGAACCTGTTTTTCTTAAAGCTGATTATTTTTACAACCAAAAACTTGAGAGCGAAGCCCTTTAAAAGGTAGGTGATGACTCTCCTTGAACACTAAAACATTCACGGCTCTTCAAGACACACAGGACAATCACCTTGTACCACTGCTGATCCCATCCTGTGTCACGTGATAAATAAATGAAGAAACACGTAAGACCAAGGACCACTGGTAAATCAGGAAAATCTCATCCCCATTAATACAACCATGATGTGATCACAGAGGTGATATCAGCTTGGGAACCAGCTGATTGGTAAGGTACTCGAGGCTCCTGGGCTGCAGGAAAGGCATTCGGAAGAACAGCAGCCAAACATCAAATGTGGGATTTGAGAAACAGGTCTTGAGTCAGCAGTAGAAGAAGAAGGATATGAGACAAGACAGGAAATGAGAAGTCAGGAAGCCTGATAGTGCCTCAGTGAGTTTGAGTAGCAGAATAAGAAGACGTTTCTACTAATTTGAAAAGCATTGGCCTTATCCTGTGAAGAATCAGGTGCTCTCTTTAAGTTAAGGTTACGAATTGTTCAGTATTTACTACAACAGAGCTGGATAATGATAAACTTCACGAGGAGGGGGAGAAGAAGAGGAAATATTTTTCTGTGTCCTATCAGTAGGACATGATTTTAAAGTGAGATTGGAGAAGGCATGCAGTTCATATAATTAACAATTCAAGATTTCAGCCAATGAACAAGTACTACTAGTGGCCAGAACAACTACTGGCTTCTGAAAATACTCACTTCAAGACAACTGCCTGACTTACAGCTTTAGAGACACATGGATGGCAAATGAAAGAAAGAAGCACTCTACTATTAGCAGATCAGTCCTTTGTTGCCACCTCTCATACCTCACTTTTCACAGCTTCTGCAGGCATCAGTGTAGAAGATGGCTTCTCAGCTTTTCCTTTCTTTGCTTCTTTTTTTTCTGTCACTTCTGGCAACTTTTCCATTTCACTTTGGAGTACATCAATTACTCTAAAATCTGCAAATTCTTGAGCAATATCAAGAGCATTCTTTCCTGTATTAAAAAAAAATACCTGTATAAGCCATGAAAATGAACCTTGGCACTTATTATTGCAACTGGATAATGACACTACAGTGAACTGAATTTAATTAGGCCTCTTTATTAACCATTCAGTGTGCCAGCCTGACACTGGTGTGAGGACTGGCTGTCATCAGCACTGCTTGCAGAAAAAAAGGCCTTGCAGAAATGACCCTTGAAACCAAATATTACAGAACTTCTTGGAGTGGTTGCTTTGTTCTTCATGTCCTGACATTTACAGCTTAATATCCTGGTCTTACAGGTTGTAGTTTTGATGGTGGAGAGCTGAGAATATTTAGCACTAGGAGGTGACTAGCATAGTACAAGGTCAGGAATGTGGACAAAGTAATTGTAGGTATCTACCTCATCCAGTGCTTGCTCTGTGGCTGGCAAGGAGTCAAGGGAAGCCCCATGGTTTAAATGAGACTTAACACCTTCAGTGGTTAACAAAGGAAAAGCTCTGCTGGATCTTATGAATTGAGACCCTGTGGCTGTGAAGTAGTTGCAAGATTAAACTGCTGCGTGAATTGAAACTGCACACAGTAGCAGAAATGGAGAATACACATCCCTTCTATGAGCAGGGTTTCACCTTCTAGGCATTTGGGCAACCAAAGTTTCATTATGTAGCAATATTCCTTCCTGTGTCAGAGCAAGGGCTTAAAATGTAATAAATGTCAACTGTTTAATCTCAAAATAGAGGAAATAATACTGAATGAGGGATCTTCTGTGAGGTGGTAACACTTCAGTACTAGTTCAGATCTGGTTTTCTGTCAAGTCTTTTTTTTTTTTTTTCTCAAGAAGTAATACTTACATGCTATGCAGCAAGTGCTGCCTGTGCCTAAAAATAAATTATTTAAATGGGTGGCAGAGTACACACTGGCCACAACTAAAATCTAATTTGCTATCAAACAATACTAATAGCTAGTTAGATTTTTCTTATCTAAAGCCACTTAAAATTCTGTATATATTCTGTGAGGAGCAATAGGCTCCTTAATCATGAAATTAATCATGTTACATTATTTTCTAGGTGCATAAAACCCATAAAAGCTGACTACTTAGAATAATGACTCCCATACTGTTGAAAACTAATTGAACGTAACTCCTACCTTCATCCTGATCCTGAAAGCAGTCGTAAATTCAGAACACTTCTGAAAGCATCCCAAGAACTTAGCTTTTTTTAACAAAACATGTATACACATAAGGAAACAGGCTTTTTGGGAGGGAGATTGATATTTACCATTGCTGTTTGTAGCTTCGATGTTAGCACCTGACTTGATCAAAAAGTAAACTAAATCCAGCCTGCCGCTCTCAATGGCTCTCATTAGGGGGGTTGCATTCCCTATGGCAGGTGCATCCACTGCTGCTCCGGCCTTCACCAGCAGCTCAGCAATACCTAGGAACCCATGGTAGCAAGCGTGGTGGAGGGGAGTCCACATGAAATTGTCTGTTGTGTTTATATCAGCCCTACAAAAGGGTAAGAGGAGTTGCAGCAGATTAAGGTGGCTACTAGATAGAGTAACACCCAGAGCTCCAAGTACAAGCAATGTTCACTGCCCACTACAATGGCATATTCAATGTAACCAAATATTTTCTTATTAGTACCCCTACTCTAAAACCATTTTAGAATCCAATTTATATCTTGGCAGAGAATATTAATTGTAAGAGTGTGCCTGCATGGCTGGGGCCAGGGGAGAGATCACATCCCCTTCTAAGCCAACAGAGTATCCTCTACGTCAAGGTTTTCACAGGTGCAGAGAAAAACCGGCATTGAAACAGCTTAACAGCCCTGTAAAATGCTGCTAGTGTTTGGGCTCCAGCTTCACTGAGAATGGCAGAAAGTAGACTAGGGACTTGAAAAAATAATGCTTCTGGGCCAAGAACAGGTGCTCTGAAATGCATGGCAAAATTGTCTACTGTCCAATTCACAAATGAGTCACAGAAGGCCTATCTTAGAAAATCTGAGGATTTAAAACTTTTTCAGCCACTGTGCTACTGGACTAGATCTGTTTCTGCTACCAGGTTTAAACTGGCATGTTCTGGAGGATGCAGGGATAGTTTGAGGGAGACATCTGCAATATGCTGCCTTCAGATGATGCTGAGGGGAAAAGCATTATCAGCCCTTTAGCAACTGTCTGCCTTTGGGGCTTTTTGGGCTGGGGTCATGCTAAAGCAAGGCCACTAGAGCCCCTTCATGGTGTTGAAAGCATTTGAAAGTTAGTATGCAATATGCTGCCTTCAGATGATGCTGAGGGGAAAAGCATTATCAGCCCTTTAGCAACTGTCTGCCTTTGGGGCTTTTTGGGCTGGGGTCATGCTAAAGCAAGGCCACTAGAGCCCCTTCATGGTGTTGAAAGCATTTGAAAGTTAGTATAGAATATATAT